CCTGAGTTAGTCCAAATGTTTTGCTTTGAATTGATAGATTTAAAAAACAAATACCACTCTGCTGGCAGTAATTCCAAGTCAGCTCATTGCGCCGTGGGAGTTTGTGCTCTCATGCTCTACTTCACGCCCCGGGAGGTCTGCACCTCCTGTAGTGGGATGCAAATGTCTCTCCTGAGCTGTGCACATCATGATCTGAGTCAGACCAGTCCTGGCATGCAGGACCCGGCCCATGGAAAACGTCTGCAGCAGAAGGGACTGGTCTGAGCAGGGAAATGGGCCACGGGGAGAAAGTATAAAGAGCATGGACACAAGCTGTTTCACGTTAGCTCAGTGATCCAAAACAAAGTGCTGTGACTGTGATTTACCCACGTTTTGCTCAACTGAGAAGCAGTTAAATGAAACCCAAATGAAACCCAAGTGAAATGAACCCAAATCTTCTAATATCCTGGACAGTCAAATTCTATAAACTCTTCCACCAACACACTGTGCTTCAGTTTATAGTTCTTGCTCTTCACCCCCCCCCCCCCCCAGCTATCTCTCTTCTTTACTGTTCTGTGCCGGAATCCTATTTCACTGAAAATAAAAGTTGTGATTTCTGTCCTCCATACACTCATGGCTGGCTGACACTTTCTTTTAATATAAATAGCACTTGTTCTCCTCCCACAGTGCATTTGTACACACAGTTCGAACCCTCTTTTGGCCTTTGTTTTGCAAAGTTAGATATTAACCATTTACAATTTCTTTCATGACAGCAAAGTTTGCACTATCTAATAAGCTTTCACTGCACTTATTTCCATCAGGATTCATTTTTTTTCTGTACCCAAGTGAGCATTACACACCACCATGGATAATGTTGACAGTGGTGTCTTGCCATTGACTCATGCAGTGGTAATAACAATTCCCTGAGCACCCTTAGTTACGCACAGAGATCAACATTTTTTTATACCTGTATCACACTGGTATCTCATTTTTTCCAGGTCTTTTTCCTCCAAGTCATAGCAAAAATAAGAGGAAAATAGATATATATTTCATTTAAGTTGGAAGGGACCCTTAAAGGCCATCTGGTCCCCCTCCCCAGCGATGAGCAGGGACACCCACAGCTGCACCAGGTACTCAGAGCCCTGTCCTTGATCCTGGGTGTCTCCAGGGACAACGGGGCACCACCCCCTCTGGGAGCCCTGTGCCAGCGCTTCACTGCCCTGATCATAAAGGGGCACATTGCACAGCACGGTGTTATCAGCAAACTTGCTGAGGATGACTTGATCCCACTGTCGATGTCACTGATGAAAATTTTGGCCAGATTCACTTAAAAAGCATCCTGTTACATTTTCATTTGAGAGTAACTAATGAAAATTCCCTGCTAAATGTGCTTTCTGAGAGACAGGAATGTTCTTTTCTTTCTCATGATCACCCAAAGCCCATATTTTAAGCCACAGAGCTACTTCAGGTAGCGTAAATCAGCCTTGCTCTGATACGGCCTGCAGTCCTCTCAACCAGCATTGAGGAACAATTTAGTGTTTTCAGATGACAGTTGGCATCTTTGAAATATTCTCTTTTACAGAACTAGACTAGATGTGACACTTGCTGGAGAAAAAATCTTGCATAAATCTGTCCAAAAAGACTCACTTAATCATATTACTTCACTAGCAGTGGTAACCTTTGGGGGCCAAAGTCCAGACAGGTTGAGAAATGGCACATGAGTACATAAAGGTGACAATTCCATTAACTGCAATCAAATAGGAAGGTGAATGGTGAGATAAAGACAAATGACTTGCTCTACAAAGAAAAGAAAATATGTGTGTGAAGGGGAAGGAGACAGAATGAACACTTTCCAGTCTTGTCAAGGAAATAAAGCCCCACTCCTGCTCCACTGAGATCCACACACAAACATCTTTCTGCCTCCCTGAAGGCAAGGATCCTGGTCTGCTGGTGAATGGTGGTGGGAGCTGTTGTGCCAGGAGCACACGTGTGCACAAGAGGAATGTCCCTGCAGAAAACTGGGCAGTCTTGCTGCATTGCCCACCACAGCCATACCAGAAATGCAGATACTAGCTTACCTTTGAAGGCAACTGGATCTTTTCCAACAAGCAGAAAAATCACTGCATCCAGTGATTCACAATTCTCAGATGTACCAGACAAGTTTTTTGTGGTCCAACTGGTGCCCCAGAGGATGAATAGGAACAGCTTTGGGACTTTCCTTTGGCCTCCAAATCAGAAGGCATGGCTATGTACTGCTGACTGAAACTACCACAGGAAAATGAAAGTGGTTGTGCTGGTTCAATGCCAAATTGCAGCACAGATGAAAGCTGCTGGGAAATATTCCTACCCAGTATCTGTGAGGCCAGGGATGGCATCAACAGCGCTGCTAAGACAAATTCACAGTACCCAGGTTTTTTTCAGAGGAAGAGGAATCTTAAAGAGAACAGCCATGCTAGCTATAGCATTGCTTTGCAACGCTGAAATAAAGCCACAGAGATCTGTTCTCTTGTAAATCGCTCTTAAATTTATATTGAAGGAGAAATGAATAATATATAATCCATCTACATAACCACTTTCTTTCTCTTTTGCCATTTCCTCACTTAGATATGGTCTTTTCAGGAATTCCTATGCCAAAAAGCTCATCTAAAGCCAATGCATTTAGCAAAGCAAAACAAGCAGATAAGTAAATTGCTTTACTCACAGCAGAACTGTAAAAGGATTGCATCTCTGAGCATTCAAAAATTCTGCTTACTTAGATATTGATTAATATAACAATTGAAGGGAAGAAAAGATGTACAAAGAACCACGTAGTGTGTATTTGCTTGTGCAGCTTATACAAGCACCCAAAGCAGATGGAAGTCTCGTTCTTAAGCAGGATAATACTGGAGTAGGAAACTGAAGTTAGGAAGTGCTCTGGATGAGATGCTTTTAAGCAGTCAGATCAGGACAGGGAGACAGGGAAGGAAATATCAACTGACTACTATGTCACAAGAACAAGGGATTTCTGAGTGGAAAGAAAGCTAAACATTCTGAGAAGTGTACCATAGGAAAAAGAGGAAATTTCCTTTTTCCTGTTTTTAATAGAGATGATCAGTTACTCTTAAACAATAGAGCAGCTGAGATGGAAAATCCCTTTAGAGCTTTATGCAGCTCTAAGTATAACTAATAAAATGATTCAGATTTCATCAACCTCTGAGCCATTTGCTTAACTTTTGGGTAGTTCACCTTCTAATACAAAATTCAGCAGCTGATATAAACAAGCATGCAATATTTCAGGCTCCTGCAAAATTCCAATGTCTTGCCTAGGCCTGTTCCTGCCTGCCCTCTTGGCTGGATACCAAAAACCTTTATTCTCAGGGGAGTCAGCCTTCCAAAAAACCACTTGGCACTCGAATCAGCGCTGCTCTGTTTTCCTAATGCCTACTGCAGGCAAGATGTTTGGGGCTCTGGTACCCAACAGTTGAGCATTTCAGAGAACTCGGGGATTTTTCTTTTGAAACCACACTGACAATGCCATAAGAATAAGTGAGGCTCTGTGACGCTGTGTGAGTGTGGTGGGAAGATGGGATGACTTGCTTGCTGTACAGTGGTCTACAAAGGGAAAATGCACACACCACGTCCTCTATAAACTGCCTTCTGTGATGTGAATGCTGAAAGTTCTGGCTTAGAGTTGTGTTTTCATCAACTGGCTCCCCCCGGGAAAACTGCCAGGCTGCCACAGATTATGGTAAGAAGAAGACACCCCCCACCAATGCTTGGACAAGAATTCCACTGCTGCAGCACGGTAGAGGGCTGCTCAACAGTCCTTGCACACACTTATTGCTGCAACCGCTCACGTTGCCAGCCTGTGAAAATGTCCTCTTTGCTCCCCAGGTTCAGGCAGTGCACACAAGGCACAGCTTTGCTTATCCCTTTACCCTCTTTGCATATCTCTTTACACTCAGTGTTTCCTGAGGCCACTGCTGTCAGGGTCAACTATGACAGTGCAGCCTTTGCCTGCCGGGACAGAAGCCTCATGGCAGGTGTGGGCAGGCAGGTTGCAGTCCCAGGCACCAGACCTCACTGCAGGAGCAGGCAGATGGCTCTGCTCTGTCTGGAGGCAGACTCATCAGACATCTTCCCTCTCAACCCATGGCAAACCCAGATGCACAAAATTCTGAAACCACAATCTGCTGAGCTGGAAATGAATTTCACAAGCCAAGCAGTGAAAATCTCTTGAGCTTCTTAAATTTCACAATACCTTAAATCTCATGAAAAATAAGTAGCAGAGGTTAAATATTTTTCTGCAACAACCTCTCAAGAGTTTTGAATTGAGTATAACCAGCGTATGCGAAGTAGTTCGTTACAGAGGTGATGTATCATAGCGATGCCAAAATCCAGACAGCACAGAGAAAGGTAGAAAATGACTCTAACCCTTGAAGCAGCATGTCTTGTCTGCTTTTGTGGCTGTGATTTCCTACAAAAGGCAGATCCTATTTTGCCCTTTGAATTCAGACACTTGTGAACACAACAAGAGTTGAAACACCATCAGCATCTGCTAATTTGTGACAAACACAGCTGTCTGCTCTCCGAGGGTAAGGTTGTTAACTGGAATCTGTACTTTCAAGATTATAAACAATCCGCAGCCTTTCTCCTAAACTCGTTGCAAAATGTACAAATGACAATAATCTAAAGTCAGCACTGTCAGCTTTTAGAATCTGAAATTCAACAGGGGCACATGCAAGTACATATTAAGAAATTTGTAGTGTCATAAACCCACCTGCACATCGTACAGAAAAACTGAAGAGCACGAGATACAGGAATAAATTCACCATATATGTAGATAGTTCCAATGCAGTTATATTATTTTCCTGTTCTGCATACAACCCAAAACAAATTGCTAGTAATTAAAACATGATCCTGATTGCAGAAGTTTTGCCCCTAGGGAAGTAATTTTCTATCACAGAGCAGATTCAGCCCTGTTGTAGCATTTCTGATTTTCATGCAATTACACCGTTAATCAATTTTGCCCCACAACTTACCCACAGTGATGCAATTCAACTTCAAAGGGACAAGTTATGGGGTTTCCTCCTGACTCAGGCCAAGTTTCTGGAACAAGGAAGGTCTGTAAGGGAGACAGTTTGAGCGATGTTTCAGTCTGTCATTTAGGAACATTCACATATTAAAAAATGTCACGGGATTTATATTGTAACATCTTGGATGTTAGAATTACCTGCTTTTTCTTCGCTCCTTACAGATACATTCTGAGTAGGTGCTCACCAGAAAACAGGGCAAATACCAGATAAATGTAGTGATATGATTAGAGACAGCTGTTAGCAGAAAGATACTGGGGATCCAGATAGTTCTGCCTCGTCTTTGTTGTGTAGATCTATGCTCTGAACTTAATACATTGCCCAAGCTTGTACTGTATGATAACAGAATGTCTGCAACACTCGGAACCCTGGAGGAAAATATAAAATATTTATTCTCCAATATTTTAGGTGACTTCAAGTATTTTGGGCAGGATTGATCTCACGCTTGTGAGATTTATACTTTGCATGACAGATGGAAATCAGAACGCACACACTGATGCTCTCACTGGTGTTGAAAACTTCTGACTTGTGTATAAAATCAGTGAAACAGAGCTGCAACACTTCCCTCCTCCAGGGGCTAACCTGCTTTTTCCTGATACATGCAGCTTCACAGGTCATGGCCCAGAAAACAGGAGTTTCCTCAGCAATTCCTGCCTACGTGAACCAGGCAAGTGGGATGCTTTCAGAGAACTGGGGGCGATTATTCCATTCTCTCTGCAACTGTTTGAGTTTCCAAAACAGCATGAAGCAGATGTCCAGGTTCTTGCCTAAGGCTTCCTAGGAAAATTAATGCTATTTCGAAATCGTATCAGAGACAAAACTACTGAAAGATACTCAAGCTTGGATCAGGAAGGAAGAAGAACGTAGTAGCTTTTGACATGCCCATTGCTGAGTGCTCTTATGAGGCAGAATATCCAGTGCACCACATCAAAAATTCCTTTAGACTATTGACACAATGTTAGAAAGAGGTGGAACAAGACGGTAGACACAAGAGAACTATCAAAGGTACATTTTAAATTTCCTGTCTACATTCTGACACTGAGACTTGATGATCAAGGGCAGGTAGCGACAGGATGAGGGGAAATGGCTTCAAACTGGAAAAGAGTAGATTTAGACTGGATATGAGGAAGAAATTCTTTACTGTGAGGGTGCTGAGACACTGGCACAGGTTGCCCAGTCAGGCTGTGGATCCCCTCTCCCTGGGGACCATTCAAGGGCAGGCTGGATGGGACTGTGAGCAGCCTGGTCCAGTGGGAGGTGTCCAGTGGGTGTCCAGTGGGAGGTGGCCATTTTTTGCCCTTTCTGTCAGCTACAGCAATGAATTGTGATGAATCAAGATGAACATTTGAGGAAGGAAATAAAATTGTAGCTGTACTCTTATTTTAGTCTATTTCACGTCTGATTGTTTTCAAGAGCAGGACGACAAGACTGGTTGTGTAACTCCACCCTTGTGATGAACTGCCAGGATCGTTGTTTACGAGCGTGACCCAAACGCCGGAACAGCTTCCTCACCTACAGAGTGCTGCAATCCCGGAAATACCACGGGATGTCTTCACCAACATCTCCTTCCCATCAGCACCACGTGCACTGGAAAGAACATCCCGAGAGATACAGGACTGAGAAATTAGGATGGCACATAATGATCCCATGGGCTGCAAGCATTTCCCTCGATAGAGTCATGGCCACCAAGGGTCAGGTCTGTAGCTATGAAGCAAGCCTGCAGGCAGGGCTTGACCCCGTGCTGGTGGGCATATAGCAAACTGCATGTGCAATTTGTATACATCCATTTGTAGGTTCTAATGCTATAACTCGATTTTCCCCACATTATCTTAAAGTAAACTGAAGATCTGGGGAGGGAAACGAAGCTTTTACCAAATGAAATGCATTTTTCAGAGCTCAACTGCAACCCTCCTTGATCATCTATTACAATCCGAGCGCCATGCTTCAAGTTTACCTTCCACACCTTATCTCTTTAAATTGACTAGCAGCTCAAAATTTAATCTAAAGCTAATTTGTGTGCTTTTTTTTTTTTTTTTTTGCTTTAAAAATTCCCATTGAAAAGTCATCTACTCTGCCAGATATAGGAGGTCAGCTTGATATGGGAGAAAAGTATCCATTACTCTTGCTTTGCTTTAATATGTGAGGGAAAGGAAAGAAATCCCAGATAGAGTTGAAGATATGTCTGATTGCCATCCTGTTAGAAAATATGTATGCTCTAAATCATATCACTGAGTTTCTGATGTTGCTGAAAACTGACACCAACTCCACCATCTGAATAGCTTTGCATTTTCACCCAAGAACAATTTTCCCCTTCAGAATAAACACCTCCAGGGTTGAGACTTCAGCTGCTCCATCCTGAGCTAGAGAGCTGTTTTTCCAAGCTGCTGCCTGTATTGGGCTTCAAACCAACACTGAATGAATGCAAAGAAGGAAGCCCAATACACAGCAGGCTTAAATATATGGAGGCTTTGGGGTTTTTGGAACATCAAACACTTCACAGTAGAAAATATTTGCAATTTGGTATTGCAAACATTTCCCTTCCCGCTGCAAGGTTAATTTATCATAGAGGAATATATTGTTCTCAGACAGTATTGCTAGCTGGTGGTGTTCTTGTTACATTAACTTGTTCTCAACCAGAAGAAAATTAAAGTGTCACCCGCGGTGAAGGCTGCCTTTGTGAAATTGCCTTCTTTTATGTCATGCTCCTATTTATTCAAGGAACCAACTCAGACATTGAGAGTAAGGCTAAGGGTCTCAGTGGTGCTTTTGACCTTTCAGCTATGGCCTTTCCAAGGTGTTCTGCATTTTAGCATCACCCTTTAAGTGTTACATTTTCATCTGTAACCTGTTGCTGCATTTATTCCACAAGACTATGCAACAGCAATCCAGAACCCGTGACCACAGAGGCTTACTGGTTGCAGCTCCTCCTAGCACAGCTTCCAGCAATACATCCTTGTCATTTGCAGTGCATTTTGCCTTCAAAAACCTCACTGGTTCTCTGAGTTGAGTAACAATGTTGTTCTTACGCCCACTCAGTGTCCTTAATATTGGGTAACAGGAAACGAGGGGACGAAACAAGCTATTACTTCTGGTTCCTAAGGCCTTGAATCTTTAAGCTGTAGTTCTATGTGGGTATCTGCTCTTTGACAACACTTCCCATACTGTGTTTCAGCCAGGAAGATGGATGTACCTTAGTAAAAGTGAGTCATTCACTGAACCTAGGCCAAACTCTGAAGCAAATCTGGGCCAGTTTATTGCCTCAGGAGGAAACCTGGTTTTTGCATGAATTAGACGTGAAAATAAGCAGAGCCTGACTGACATCTTCTCTGAATTCCATCTGTAAGGGTAAAACCCAGCGGGCAAGAGCCTCAGGCATGACAAAAATGAGGAGGGGAAAATGTGGCTTCCTGTCTCCCCTCCAAGAACCGAAGACACACTTTACTCAAACTTAGGGTAAATTGTTAATTATTCATATGCTAATTAGCCAATGTTTATAGAACGTCCTATATATGTAAATTGGAGTAAATGTGCTTACATTTTTCCTGCAGTCTCTGACTTTCATTCTACAGCAAAACAATCCCAACTTGTTACGCCAGTTCTCTGGCCAGGCACTTCTTACAGCTCTGTTGCTAAAATTCCCAGCTCAAACTGCTCAATTGTATTTCCCTACAGAAATTTCTGCTCCGGTTTCTAGTTGCTTTAATTCCATCACAGATCGCATTCTGTTTAATGATAATTTGATTTTGCATTGCAAGACCCAGACATACATTAGGAGGTCACAACCTTTCCATTTATCTCTTAAAGTAACTATTTTTTCCCCAAGTTCCATCAGGTTAAAACAGTTAGCAATTTTTCTCCTTGAAGCGTCCCTTCAGCTTGGCCAAGATATATAATAGATCAGTGTAGCTACGAATGCATTACAACATTAGTCATCAATTAGTTTTAAACCATCACAGTAATATATCATTTATCTAGCTTGCTGTAGCACTATTGTGAACGTTTAATTTTTTAAAGGCATCTTGATTTTTTAACCTGACGGCTGCATCCTCCTTTTGTCCCCTGTACAGACATCTCCTTAAGGAACAATAAAAATTAGATTTGTTTGACCTGCACTCAGGGTTCGTTTAAGCGAGATGGATTTTAATTGCTCTGCCTACTTCACCAGACAGCTTTTTTGTAATATTCCAGACATTTACGCACTGTCTTTCTCCTTGCTGCAAGCAGGTGTGTGTGCCCACAAATGCCTGTGAAGCAGCTCTCATTCATTTCACATCTCTGACAATCCTCTGGGAAACTGCTTACTCTGAGGTATCATTGGCATCAAATTAAGAGCCCGAGTCAATGCCACTCATTTCTTCCTAATGCCAGTTTCTTTTAAGACTCAACCTCTTGAGTGGATAATCCTGAAAAATCTTTGCTAAGCTCCTTGTGCTCGTGTTGCCATCACGTTGTGCAGATGACTCACCTCTGCATCTCCTGATAGCGAAGATGTGTACAGAGCCTGACCCGTCTCTCCCCAAGCTCACATTGTCCTTTCTACCATCTGCACGCACTTGACTTACATTTATGGTTCGAAAGAGTTTGGAGTATGAACTAGCCAAAGCTGAGAGAAGCATGCCTACGCCACAGATATTCAGTATCTTGAAGGATCTCTAACTTCAACTAGAAAGTCACGCGAGCAAGTTATCACAGCGTTGACTCAGGGCCGAAACACCCTGACTGCTCTGCCAGCTCAGAGCAGAGGCAGCATGAGCTCACGTTTGCCCACAATGAACCTTATTTGCTCCAGCTGCTCCACAGGGAGAGGAGAACCTCATGTAGAGTTCTCTCCCTGTTGATTCTCCTCTTCCACAGATGATACAATCTGATGATGATGTCCTCTGTCTTTCCTCTTCTCCCCACTCCTAAAAAGGAAGTTTTGGCTGTCGAGTTACCAAATCAGCATTAAAAAATGGGCCTCCTAAGCAGTTATGTGTGCCTACAGCTGGTTCTGTTCTGCTCTCTGTGGACACACACATGTACTCAATTCTCA